CGTCTTCACCAACACCTGGCATCATATCTATATACGGCCTGAACTTTTTGACGGCCATGACAGCGGCGAGGCATTCCTTTTCGGTGGTGGTGTACTTGCGCTGGCGATCGTTGAGTTTTTGCCTGAAGTACGCGATGGGCTTCTACGATTCATCGGTTTCCTTTTGATATAGCACAGCGCCCACAACGTAATCAGACGCGTCACATTGCACAAATAATCGTTTAGTGAAATCGGGATGTTTAAGCATAGGTGCGCTCGTTAGCGCTCTCTTTAAGTTATTGAAAGCTTCCAGGGCTTGCGTATTCACTTCGAATTTTTGGCCCGTCTTCAGCAGGTCTGTCAATGGTGTCAATGGCAGCAAAGTCTTTTGTGAAGCGCCTATACCAGCCGGTAGTTCCGAGGAAACTTCGAACTTGCTTGATCGTTTTCGGTATCGGAATGTTTTGGATCGCTCTAACCTTTTCAGGGTCGGTCTTAAGCATATCGCCATCAACGATATACCCCAGGTAAGGCAGCTGTTTAAAACAAAATGTAGATTTCGATAATCCTATGGTTAAATTCGCATCTTTAAAACAGGTGGATACCTCGCTTAGGATTTGGAGGTGCGAATCAAAATCAGGCGCAATGATCAGCAAATCATCAAGATATATGAAAACGTTTCCTTTAAGTTTCTGAGGAATTACGCGGTCCATTAGTCGGTATAAACGCTGCGCGACGTTGCATAAACCGAACGGCATTGTTACAAACTGATACAGGGGCCGTCCATGTACCGTGAACGCAGTGTATAGTTTGCATTTGTCCTCCAACTCAATCTGCCAAAAAAGCGAATTTAAGATCAACACTGCTAATAAAGTGGGTCTCGTCGATGCGGCTGAGTATGCCTTCGATGTTCTGCAGCGTGTAGGCGTCATTTACGGTTACAGCATTCAGTTTGCGCGCGTCGAGGCAGAGGCGATTTTTACCAGGTTTACGAACAATTGTCTCGCGGTTACTGCAGGGGCTTTCGCTTTCCTCGATCACGCCTAATTCCAACCTTTTATCTACTTCTTCGTTAACGATCGCTTGCATTTCCGGGGACAAAGGGTAGTGGCGGTCTTTGATTGGCACCGCATCGTTGGCCAGCTTGATGGAATGCTTTTCAAGGTGCCTTGTTCTTCATAAGTTTTGAAGGCGCTGACCACCTACTGTAGACGTTGTTTTTGCTCCGCCGAAAGCATATGCAAGACACGCCGCCTGTTCTTTTACTCTTCGGACACCAAATCGCGCTCTAATTTGCTGAAGTTGATTTCATCTATTGATATCACATCTGGAACCAACCGGAATGCGCGCCAGAAATCCACCCCTAAGTATCTTTCTACTTTACAGGTAAGGTGAGTTTGCCTAACACATTGTGTCAGCGCCCTCCTGCCGTTTTTACACTGGAAACTTACCGTTCAATTAGGCATCTAGTTCTTCTATGAATTCCTACAGCCACGGCCCAGAATGCTTACTGATCTAACAATCCGCGTGTAAGAATGCCCTGAATTTCGATCTGCGCTCTTTACTGACGACACAACATTTCGGCGCAGCAACTTACAGTGTCGAAAGCTATCACGCACCTTTTGAACCTTCGACGACACCCTTCTGCGTCCCATCAAAGCACTGTCGGTGAAAAGTCGTTGGCGTGCTTCCAAATACTTCCTCATTCGTTCTTCGTAGGATGGCATACTCACAGTTTTGGGCAACTCTTTCTTTGTGTTATTTTTGATTTTATCGAAAATGCTAATATTTGTTGTACTTCCAGGTGGTTTTGCCTCACGACTTAGCCCGTCGGCTGTTGGTGTGTTGGTCGAAGCATCTACTGGTGCGTCGTAATGGCGTTTCGTAAAGGGTTTCTCGCTGGGTTGCATACCGGACATTTCGGTGTTATAACATCTGACTTCCCACATTTTAAGCAAAATATTCGGCGCTACATGGACATGCAATCGGTGAAGAAATGGCCTTCCGCACCACAATTCCAACACGATACCTTGCTGCGTCCAGCTGGCTGTCTAGCCGCGCGTTGGTGGCGTATTTCATCCACGGTGACTTGACCCTCTTCACCGGGAGAGAAATGTTCCTCATCTTCGATGGACATAATTTCATTGATGTGTTTTGAGCGCGAAATAAAACCACTTGTTAGCATGCGATCCCTACGCGGAAAATACCGTTCCACTTCCTTACATTCCAACCGCAGATGCTCGAGTGAATACGCGGCAATGGGATATACTATATTAGCCAACGATTCGGGCAAATTCCCTTTCACTAATCGGATAATCTTGTACTCCGGAATTGGATATCTTAGTCGCGAGCGCAGTATACCCACCACGTGAAAATACTCGTCTATGGATTCACCAGGTCTGTGCTTCCGCTCTGTCAACTCCCTCAGACGCTGGAAGTCGGTGCGTTGTGATGCGAATTGCAAGCTAGGCCAATCAACTTTACCATGCAACCTAATATAGAGCCAATACCATTCACGCGTATTGTTCTATCAGATATTCTAACCGCAACAGAAAATCTTCAACTGATATTGAACCTCGGTTACCCTGATAATTTATCCCCCATTTTTCTATGTTAATATCCAATCGGCTAACATCTTTATTGCTCTCTTTTACAAACTTTGGACGCCCGTTTTCAGAGGAGACTGCCGGGATTGCTGCATCTAGTGTTGGTGGTTGGCGAACTAGTGGTGGATCGTGGTTCTCGCGCATTTCGCTCATCAGGCACTTTTGTGCTTCCGCGATCATTTTTTTAGAACCGGTGCTATTTCATCTCGGGTATCACGAGCTTTGGTTGAATTGCTTATGGGAAGCCGGTTGGTCTCGCCGTAAGTAGTTGGAGGAGGGTGGGGAAAAGTCAAGGGAGGTGGTTGTGGTAGCGTTAAGAGTATTGATTGGGCCTCACTCTGTTTGGACGGACCTACTATTCTTAGTTGTACCTGATGTATTATTTAAACTTCCCTGCACTGTATCACTAACAGTTGACCTAGCGTTATTATTGCCCCCTATGCGATCTGATAGATCTTTGAAGGCAGGGTCGTTGGTGCCTTGCTCCTTTTGTGGAGACACGTTCCCTGGTGGATGCATATTCGCTTTTTTGTGTTCGCTCGGGTATTGTAAGCAGTGTGAGCACGCGTCATTCAAATATACAAATGTTTGCCAAAAAAAAATCTATTATTTACGACGAAGAGAAGTAAAAATTATTCTTGGATCGATATTGACTTATGCGATTTCATAAAAATGGGGGAAGTTTAGATGACTGTCCGGGTTTTGAGGATCGGTTGACCAAATCCTTTTCGGGGAGTGATTGAAGCACTGATACGTCGTTTCTACGAGCAACAATATGCCCCTTCGGTATAAATTATAAAAAAATCTAAGTTAAGAAACAAATATAATCAATATGGTTATGCATCGTAACTGAGTTGTTAGTTGCGGTCGTATCGTAACTTTAAAATACAAAGCAGCTTTAATACTTTATGCATGTATTAGGACTTTGATTAAAGGCAAAAAAAAACATTTACATCCGGAAACTACTTTCCAAAAAAAAAACATGAACCATAAAAAAAATGCATTGTGGATGGAGATGCTAATAGCCTAGACTATTCATATGCCATCTTAGGGTTATTGCCGGGGTCTGGCCATCCTGCAACCCTCTTAATACAGATACGGTTGATCTCCCGCACTAATGCTGAAAGCAAGCCATCTGTTTAGGAGGAGAATAAAGTCCAACCAGACCCTTTTATTTGAGCGATATAACAAAAATCTGTTTATAGGCTGAAATAAATTTATACACGAACTTTGTATGCATGTATATACATATACATGTACCTATGCTCGATATGCGTTTTCATTGTGCTGCTTTGGGCTAGGCCCACTAGGCGCCAATTTCAACCTACGGCGCTGGTGTTATTTCCGGAGGTTTTTGTTTGCGCGCCATTTTAACTTTGTCGCGTACACGTGTCGCCCCTTGTCAGGCCACCATTGTGGTTGCCCTGGCTAGCTCAGTAATAAGGTGGTCGTGATCCTTAACCCTTGCCACAATAGTGCCGGGCGGACGTGGCGTTTAGAGTAAGTGCGGGTAATATGGAACACCTATTTCTTTTTGAATCATAACTACGAAGGAAAACGTCCGAAGCTCTCAAAATTTGATACACGTCACCACTGAAATACTGGCTATATGAATTTTCCACAAAAAATTCATAACAATGTATGATAAAGAATTTATTATGAAAAATCTGAAAAAAGTAAAAAAGTGGAACTTTGAAAAACATGCGGGTAATGTGGTATACCATATTACCAACACAATATTAAGGGTTTAGAAAAAATATTTATAAATGCTTTAAATGCAAAAAAAATGAAATATGTGAACAATTTTATTAAGCACGTAAATTTAAATTAACAATATTGCCTCCCTGGCTTCGTATGGATTTCAGAAAAGCCTTTAAGGCTTACAAAAAAACTAAAATTAATATAAAAAATAACATAAGTCCTTATATTACATAAAACTTATTTTATTAGCAAACAAAGTCTCTATAAGCTTTATATGCAGGAGTAGCAAAGAAATATGGCACTTCTCTTTGGGATGCATATGTCGTGAGCCCAGACCACTTCACATTGCAAACACGAAGTCCATGTTTGTGCCTCTGTGTCATCTCCCCAGCGTTTATTACAGAAATTGCACTCAGTGTCTTTTAAGGGAGGAACATCCGAGAATTCCTCAGTCCCATCAGATTCCGCGAAAATTATGCTTTGATCGGAGTCGCTAGATGACCCCCGCCGTTCTTTTTTAGAAGGACACGCTTTCTTAGACTCGACTGGTTTCGTATTCTTGGTGGTATTTCGTGTGGTTATTTTTGCTATGCTTCTTTGTAGCTCCGCTTTACACCGAGATGTGGTCAAAACTAACGATTCTCCGTATTTTTGGTGGCGGAGAGATTTTCCAGGGTGTAGAATGTTTTGCAGCTATGTTCGAAGAAATGTTACCTACTGATAAACTGAAATTTGCAGACAAGGTTGTATAAATCCAATGGATCAAGTGCTTACCTGCATTTACAATATTGTTTGATACTAAGTTACTAGGCCCAGTCGGTGGAAAAATACATGGCGATAATCCAGTGCGTGTAGTTGCCACGGAGTCATCCGATATTGACGGTAAAACTTGGGAATTTCGCATAGGAATTTCTTTATCGACATCCTGGATGGGAGCGGATTCTGTTTGCTCGTTTTCTATTTCGCCTGCTATGAAATCTGCTTCTGCCAAAATATTTTTGTCGAACGGAAAAATTCCAGTACTTATAAATCCACTTAAAGCTATTTGACTGGTTTGAACTCGCAAATATGCTTTTGTGAACAATCCCACTAAATCATATAGAGTTACTTTGCGTGCTTGTTCTCGAGTAAAGCGCCTTACTTCGTCACTATAATATACTTTAAGTGGGCCCATGAATGTTTTGTCCAATGGCTGCATTTTGTGTGTAAAATGTGGTGGCAATGACAAAATAACAACACCATTTTCACGAGCTAAATCAATTAGTTCTATGTTTCGCGTGTGGCTATAATGCCCATCTAAAATTAGTAAAGCCGGTTCTTCTTTAGTTGGCTTTGTGAACTCCAAGAAGTGTTTGAACCAATTTGTGAAAATTGGTATTTGCACCCATCCAGACAGATGGCATGAGAATTTCGCTCCTGGTGGTGCATCCTTCATAAGAAGCGGATGACTATTCTTCCTTGGGAAAATAAAATATGGAGGCACAAAGGATCCGCCAGCACTCATATACGTTATGACGGTTATGAGGGATCCGCGTTCTGCGGAGGTCATGGCGCCTATTTGCCTTTTTCCTTTTTGTGCAATAACCTTGGGTTGACGTGACTGCACCACTGATAGCCCCGTTTCGTCAACATTCCAAATGCGAGTTGCTGAAAAATTATGTTTAATATACTCATCTTCCAGCAAGTTGAAAAACGAAGACACATTGTGACGCGTGAATCCTTTTGCACGATCGAAAGAAGTGCTGGTTGGTCTACGCAAGCTCAATATCTCACGATGTCTTTTACAAAAGCCATTAAACCAGTCTTTTCCTGCACATTTTGCCAAAACATTGAATTTATTTGGAATGTTGTTTTTCACTGCAATTTGGAATGCGAGGGACAGCAAATCTAGCCTCGTCAGCCCCCAAAAGCGAGACTCCATCTCCAAAGAATACTTTACAAGCTCACTCTCTATTTCTTGACTGAAAACTGGTTTCCTGCCGAGTTTTGTTGAAAGAAGCTCCTCTGAAGGCTTTTGGCTTCTAGCCATACGCTGCAATGTTGTGTGTGGGACTTGGAATGTTTTTGAGGCCAGTAAAATTCCCATTTCGTCGTTTTTTACAGCTGCGATAGCCTTTCGCATGTTTTCCACATTCCATTGCCTTCGTTCAGCTTTTTTCGGCATGATTACTGTAAGATTCAACTACTAACCTACTTAACATATGGCGGGTAAAATGGTACTCAAAGGACCACGCTGTTAAAAACTTACCTTTTGTGAA